CTTTTATTTCCAGATAAGGTCTCACTATGTAGCTCAGAGTAGCTTGAACTCAAAATCAGTCTCCTAAGTACTCAGATTAGAGGTACACACCACCACAGTCACCTTGCCTATAAACTCTTTAATGGAGGAATAATTGTTTTATTTTCTGCTTTGTCTAGTCCATAAGAATAATACAAAACACACAGTTGTACTCATTAAATATTTCTTCTGTGAATGAATAAACTTTCCAACAACAACATGCATATTGTGGGAGACTCTGAAGCACCAAATTCAACTTTCTATCACTGCAGTTTCACGCACTGCAGCTCACCATGCGTTCTCGAGTAAACTCTCCATGCCTCAAGCTTGTTTGGCAATGAGAAGAAAACAAATTTAGACTGCTAAGCTTTGACAACTCTGCACTTCATCTACAAAATGAGGAGCTGAGTTTGATGACATTTGAGCTTCCTTTGCTTTTTAAGAACTTGAGAAAATAATTTTCGGACAGGCTCTCACTATGTAACCCAGGCTGACCTCAAATTAAAAGTCATTTTGCTACTGCCTTCTGACTGTCAGTATTACAGGTGTGTGCCACCAGGCCTAGTGTTTTTAAATTTTCGGAGACTAGAGGATGTTTTCTGCCCCCATTAGTTATGATAGAAAATAGAAACAGTAACCTCAAGTCACAGTCAGAATTAATGCTGGCTCGGAGAATTCTGATGATTTTCAGGTTTGCTTTTGGAACAAATAGCCCCTCTTATTCCCTGCAGCTAAGTAGTCCTGGTCAAAAATACCAAACTGTTAAGTCTACAGTCTGCTTTGTGAAACTGAGTATCCACTCTTGAAAGCTACGCAGGGCCTCCGTGTGAAGAGCGACAAATATTAGTTGGTGACCTGATGTCATCCTTTGCTGACTACCTTTCTAAGGTCTTCTAGCTTAGGTTAAGCTAATCTGACTCCACCATGAATTACAGGCTCTTCCCTCAGCTTTTCCCAGCACTGCCAAGGCCATTTAAGTCTTGTAAAAATAGATAAATATGAATAAATAAATACATGAATAAATACATAAATAAATAAAACAAAAAGTTCTAGAAAATACAAGGAAATAAAAGAAAAATAAATTTTACAGCCACAGGCATATTGAAGAATCAGACTTAGGGCCCCAAATGGATTTTCAGACACTGCTGGCATTACAGAGGCCATTGGAGAAAGCCACCCTCAACCTAAACAAGTTGCCACAATTCTCTGTCCATTCTTCTACATTACTTCTTCAAGTTCTTCGTCTGGCAATGAGGAAGATCTAGTCCACTCCCTCAGTATCCCGACTTGCAGCCACATGTGGTCAGTGACCTCACTAGTGGAAAGCTCCTGCTTTACCATACAGGTCTGTGACCTCACCTTTGCCAGCCTCTCATTATTCCATAGCATGATAAAATAAAACACCCGCAGAATGCAGCGCACACAACAGGATCCACGTGTACGCAGCCCAAGGCGGGTGGTCCATCAAGGAAATTACCATGAACAATATGGAGGCGAAGTTCATCAAGTATCCAGGGAACCGATCTCTCCAACTCAGTTTATCTTCATCATCCTGAGGAGAAACAAGAGAGCGGAGACCATTAGAAGGCACAAATAATAGATATTGATTTGCTCCTATTTTACATAAAATTGCATGCCACTAACATTTGTCACTCTTTAGATACTCCTGTAATTGTCGTTTCTTACCTTAAATATCAGCAATAACCCTCCTATTTTTGTCATTTCTAGAGATCCTGACACGGCTCAGAAAAACTATAGTGAAAAGAGGATAAAATCTGATGTCAGCCTCTCCTTGGGCTGATGACGTTCCAGTTCCACCATTTATCAACTGTGTGCTCTTGGGTACGTCCTCTCACATTTCTGATCCTCTTTTCCTTCCTTAATAAAGTGGACACAGTGGTGACACCTGCCCCACTTACTACATAGAATGATTTTGTTATGTGTTAATGAAAACACATTAAAATGGCTGATCAATAGACCATAAGAGATGCAACCCAAACGTGAGGCAGCACCTGTACAGAGATCATCTTTTAAAGATGGCTCAGTTGTTAAGAACACTGTTCTTGAAGAAGACTGGGGTTCGAATCCCAGCACTCACTTGGCAGCTAACAACTGTCCTAACTCCAGTTCCAGGGGATCCAACAGCCTCTTCTGTCCTCCATGGGCATTGCACGACACGGGTGCACTTACCTACATGCAGGCAATACACACACACACATAAAATAAAAATAATAAATAAAATTTTTTAAAAAATAAAGCATCAGTCACTGACCTTGGATCCTACTAATTATATAACTTACCCATAATTTTTCTCCTCTAAAGAGCCTAACATAGAATCCTCAGTTTCCTTTAGAGTGACTATGATCTTCCTATTAAAGACCCAGACACTTTGGGACAGAGGTTAAGCTGATCCATTCAATTAATTCGGTTGAGAGATCTACCTTTTCCCCTCAGACTAGTGCAGTTCACCCAGGCCACTCTATGGAGTGAGCCATATCACCAGGGGACCTCTTTTGATGGGGTGATGCAAACATCTACGGACGGTAAGAAGCCCAGCTGTATAACTAGTACTTAATTTTAGTCCATTTGATCCCTCTAGCTAGAGTTCTATGAAACTAAAATTATAGAATACACCTGAAATCCCAGCACTCAGGAGCTGAGGCAAGAGGATTGTGAATTTGAGGCTAGCCTAGGATACATGGAGAGGCCCTGTGTCATCCTGTCTGCCCCCCAAAAAGTTTAGAATTGAGACAGCAGTTCTGACAAGCACAAAAGATCATGAAGAATCTGAAGCCATGTCTGTGAAATGCAGAGAAAGTGGTAAAATATCATGTGATAACCAGCGCGGAGTCCACTCATCCTGCCTGCCATGAGTAGGAAGGAAACTCAGCAGGGCAGGACCCCAGGCCCCTCTGTTTCCCTTACCCTTCGAATGCTAGTATCTCGGGACATACCTGATTTGGCTCTAGCAACAGTGCCATCTAGCCTTTGAAAGTTTGTACTGTAAGCCGAGGACCTTTTTAGCCTAAAAGCTTCTTTCTAAAATCCTTTGTGTACCCATTTTAGTGCAAGCCATATGAAGAGACAACAGAAGGTCAGTGTGGTCACCGCCTTAGGGGGTTTACAGCCCAGTGAAACAGAGGGGATTCCCCACACACCTCCAGCCGGGGAGGAACTGCTTGCCAGCTTGGGAATGAAGGCTACCTGGAAAGTGAAGCTGTGGAGACCAGAAAGAGAGGCATGGTTTACAGTGTGTGTTTGGAACAAGCATACAGTTCAGCTGGCTTAATGGATGGTGCTATTATGATTGAACTCATTTAGTACTTAGCACTTTCATTTACACATGATGTGAATATGTCACACACTCAGGTTTTCATGACAGTCACAGAATCAGGTCTTAGACCCCCAGTCCAATCAACTTTCCATCACACCATCAGAACAAGATAAATTCTAGATGGTAACCATCCTGAAAAGGTGGAAACACATAAACCTGACTTCAATAGGATTAGAATAAGACTCATTTACATTCATCCAAAATTAGCCCAACATCAAGAGGGAGTCAAATTTCTTGCTTTCCTTCAATATTTTTAGTTTCAAGCACATGCTACTTTTTTTCTTTAAAATATGTTCCTCTAAGCTATTGGAACCAAAACTTGAAGATGAACTATTAATGACAGTGCTTCAAAGAGAAACATGGATGCATGGAAGGGGCTCTTCCTGAGGTCTCCCTAGTTACAGGTAAGATCTTAATGAGCAAATCGTGGTTCAGTTCCAGTCATCAGACACAGTCTGAGTACCTTTGATGGAGCAGCTCTGGACTGAATGCTGAGGATACAGAGAGAAGAAAGCTCAAGGAGCCCAGAACTAGCCCAGAGGCCATCAGGAGCACAAAGAGAAGGGTGCAGAGCTAAGCCTGATTAGGAATTGATGGCATCACTATTTTGCATAAACAAAGATAATTTAAAAGGCAGTTGAATTGGATGTCCCCTCAAAGCAATTCTCTTAAAAGAGTATTCATTTTTGACATATATTCTAGAGTTTGTTGAAAAATCACCCCTTTCATAGTTACAGTGATGAAGTATTTTCTGGAAGGCATGCATTCTAACACACTATTCTTGTGCCTTCAGACACTATACATAGGAAGGTGGGAGAAAATCAAGATTCCAAACCCCTCAAGTGACTAGTAAAGGCAGCAGTAAAGAAAGTTTTGTTTGTTTGTTTTGTTTTGTTATTTTTGAGATAGGATCTTCCTATGTAGTCCAGATTGGTCTTGAATTCACGATTCTCCTGCCTCAGCCTCCTGATTGTAGGAATCTCAGACATATACCACTTTACCTTGAAAGAAGCAGTTTTAAAGAATAATAGTTTGCACTAATAAAAGAAGCTAATTAAAACCCTCCATTCACTAGTCCATGAAAGATGTGAAGATTCATTGCAAAAGGCCGTTACCTGGAGGATCCTCTTCCTAAAACCACATCACCAGTACATGGGACAACAGAAAGGGGAGTAGATTTGGTACCAGAACTACAGTAGTTTCTCTCTCTCTCTCTCTCTCTCTCTCTCTCTAATTGCATTTATTTGTGTGTACACACCTCTCTCTCTCTCTCTCTCTCTCTCTCTCTCTCCCCTCCCCCCTCCCTCTCCCTCTTCCTCTCCCTGTATATGCTTTTGTGAATACAAGCACGAATGTACATGTTGTGCTGTGTGTATACATATGGAGACCAGAGAACAACTTTAGGTGTTCTTTTTTTTTATTAAAAATTTTTAATTGACTGAGAATTTCATCAGGTGCTGTTCTTTTAGACGCTATCCATCTTTTCATTGAGACAAGGTCTTTCACTGTCCTGCAACTTGCCAAATAGATTAGGCTGACTGGCCAGTGAGAGCCAGGAATTCACATGAGTCCAGTTTCCCAGCACTGGTATTATAAGCCATGCCTATTTGTTTTTTTAATGTGGGTTCTAGGATCAAATTCAGGTCCTTAGGCTTGTATGGCAAGCACTTTACCGGATGAGCCATCTCCCCACCCACTGCAGTTTCTCTGTCCATAAAATAATCATATCCTTTATTTATAAAACAATTTATAGATATCACATCAAACTAGTCTTTAACTGAGCCCACCTAACTCTTAACATCGCCTTTGCCTTTAATGTGGTGATGATAGTCTCAGAGAAGTGCCATATGAATGAATGTGTGTGACAGCTTTGTGAACTATAGAACTCATACAACAGTAAGCTCTAATTCGCTTGGATGATATCAAAAGCAGGTGATTATGAAGCACTTAGCTAATGTCACCATTGTTCAGACACAAGCCTAGCTGTCTTCTGTGCTTTCCTCTTTGTCTCTGCAGTCTCTGTTTGTGTCCCTGGACTACAACCCCCACTTTGGGACCTCAGCAAGTAGTATAATAATATTCACATAAAACCCCACAGGTGCCCTTCTGGCAAACTGAGCATTTGTAAATGTAATCACTAAAAAGACAATAGGTGAGAATATTATTTAAACAAATCCCTTGAAGGAAAGGGACTTTGAAAAATGACATTTGTTCCTGAGGATTAGTTATTAAGATAAATTTGTATTTAGTAAAATTCACCTTTGTTAGCATGCAGTTCTGAATAAATGGATGCAATCATGTAGCTACAACCACAAGAAGATCAAAACACAAAATAATCCCATCAACCCCTAATATGCCTCCTTTTCCCTGACCTCCCACCCCAATCCCCAGAACCCAGAAAAGTCTGTTTTGTACCCCCTCCCCAAATGCCGTGTAAACATGCTCCTGCAGAAGTCAGCCCTTCTGAGAATGTCTTCTTTGACTCAGCCGAGTGCATTTGAGCTCTGGCCACAGTTTCACAGCTGAAGAGTTTGTCTCCCTTTACTGAGGGATGATCTGTTTTATCATATGGATGGGCTGCAGCTCATGTGTCTGTTCACCACCTCGTGGATGTCTGGATTGTTTCCAGTTCATAGAAATCATGAATAAAGTTCTTGCAAATATTTGTGCACCAGTTTGGATACAAATCAAAATTTTCATTTCACTCAGGTAAATATCAAACAAATAGCATTAGTTGATCATAAAGTCTACGTTTGGTTTTATAAGAAGCCACCAAACTGTGTAACAGTGTACCTATGCAATGTTGAATCTCCATCGATAACATATGATACCTCTCTTCTCTACTTTCTTTCTTTAAATAAATTTTGTTTTAAAATAGTAGGACTTTAAAAACTTCTTTATTTAATAACCACATACTTAGAAGAAGCATTTCATTACAACAGCACTGGCATATTCAATAACAATTTTCTGAGCTAAGATGCATCTTT